AAAACTTTGATCCTTAATTTCACCAAGGGGAGATAATTTAGAAAATTTCCAAGGACATCATTGAAGTCGCATTGGCAAGATCTACTAACATTCTAAATTTCACGAAAATCGCACAACTATTAAAGAAGTTGTCAAATTGGTAATAACTTCCGGTTCGAAATGACAGCGACGAATTTTCGAAATGCCAAAATCCGAAATTGCAGATTTGAAGTAAATGTTTCAAGATACTCAAAGAAAAAAGAATTAGTAAAATAGGTCAAATAGTCACAGAGTTACAGCATTGTAGGTCAAATGCATTCCTTCGTAAAATTCGGTGATTTCGGATTCGTAAAACGTTTTGAAAATATATTTAATCAACAGCCACCACCCATTTTTGGGGGGATAGGTAAAAGTTTCAGAACGATCCTATGGTTAGATTCTGAGAAATCCGATTTGTGGACAAAACACAAAAAAAAAATAACAATAATAATCTTAACAGAAACAATAAGCTTTCATATGTAATATGAAAGCTTAATAATCTTAACAGAAACAATAAGCTTTCATATGAAATATGAAAGGTTGATAATAATCTTAACAGAAACAATAAGCTTTCATATGAAATATGAAAGCTTAATAACCTTAACAGAAACAATAAGCTTTCATATGAAATATGAAAGCTTAATAATCTTAGTAATAACAATAGTCTTTCACCGAAGGTGAAAGCCTAATAATATTAATCTTAGTAATAACAATAACTAGACTTGCTTGCAAGACTGAAGGCTTTCACCGTGCCAAGGCGTCACACGATCGACAGATGCATGACAAAAGACTATCCTCACCACTCCCCCACCCCCTACCCAAAAAAAACCCAAATACACTAGCATAATTCAGATATTGACACGTTCTTTGCATGCGCATTGCGATAGAGAAGGGAATTGAAAAATAGAGTTGAACAATTCACATCATGATAATCCTAGATCGGTAGAATCGAACAGTCGCCGCCAATCCAAATATGTAATCGAAAACTCAAAATTACAAGAAATAACAATTTTAGTAAATTTTCAAATTTTGAAGAAAAAATGAGAACGACATGGTATTTCAATTCGGCCGTTATCGCATCCACAATATCCCCAGCTGTACAAAAATATAACTTTTTCGAAAATCGGTTGTGAATTCACATAATTAGGGCCGGTTTTCAATTTTCGTGCACGTTAAAGATTTACAGACTTCCGGTCTGTCCACAACTTTCGCAATAGTTATAAGTAATTATTGTTAAAAACAAGGGAAAAATCAATATTCAGAACACTATCTGTTAGTTTCAGAGATCTACACGAATTGTAAATGGAATAAAACAAAAAACAAAAACAATTTTCCGAATGGGACAAAAACAATCTTTTAAGCCTCAGATAACAACTAAAACCCGACTTTTTTTTTTTTTTTTTTTTTTTTTTTTTTTTAATAAAGAATTTATTCACTCAATAAAAATATTATACATCATATCAAAAATCCCATCATCTATGTACAAACAGTGTAAAAATGTACAAAGATAAAAATTATAAAATTGATGATGGGGAGTGAATAATGTTAAAATATTGTCATTATTTACTTTAAATTGCAATTAGAAAAATAAACAAAGTACAAATTAACTGTTAACAAAAATATTACCAAAAACGTATATACACCAAATAATATAAAACAATAAACATATTTACAAGCATAATACACATAAACACATGTACAATATTATAATACACAACAAACTATAGCTAATACAACAGAATAATCACAATGTGAAGTGAAAAGAATCTAAATTAAAAAGTCGAGAAATTTTCATAATTCAAAAACTAAAAGACAACTTACCATTTTTATCTAACAAACAAAATAAACCGGGATCAAGCCAATATTTATGAAATTTGCTAGGGGTAAATCTAAATTTATCAACAGTTATTCTAAATCTTAATTTCTCTAAGAAATCACAAATAATAGTTTCCGTAGATACAGACTTCTGTTTAAATTTACAATCCTGACGATTACGCCATATAACAGCCTTCGCTAAATTAACAATATACAAAATAACATCAAAAATAAATTTGTTCATTTTAGGAAAAGTTAAAAACCGAATCAATTCAAAAGTTAATGCAATAGAGCCTAAAGATAAACTGCCAATCCAATTATGAATAATTACCCATATAGGGGAGACAACTCCACATGTATAAAATAAATGTTCCAGTGTTTCAATATTATTACAAAAAGTACATTTTTTTTCTAAAGAATGCTTACGTGTAAAAAGTGTCCACATGCAAGGAACAATATCATGCGCGAAACGCCAAGCAAAACTTCTTACATGAGGATCAACAAAATTACAATGAACATTAGAAAATACAGTTTGAAAATTAATCTGAGGCATAATCTTAACTATAAAATTTTGTTTAACTATAGGTTTCAACAATAAATAATAAAATTCTTTAGATGAAGTATGATCATGCCAATTAAAATCCGGATACAGCTTAATGAAATTCTCTAAAATTACCTTACAATTCTTATAGAAACTTGGTACAGAATCACCATGTGGCATATTATTTGTAAATAAGGAAGAGTCAATTTTTTTGAGAGTAAACCCTAGCCAATAAAAAACAAAATACTTAAAATTAGAATTACAACCATTAACAATATTATGTATATGTTTAAGTCTAAGAGATTGAAATTTTAATAAAATATGCACAACTGACAAACCCCCTTCCCGCTTACTACCGTATAAAACCAGACGTTTAAGACATTCAAAACGTTTAGTGCCCCATATAAATTTGAACATTATTGAATTAAATTTTTGAATTAATATATTCGGAACGTCGATTATACTTCCAACATGCCAAAGTTTTGATAAACCAACTGCTTTTATAATATTAGCACGACCAAATATGCTCATATCTCTATCACCATAATCAAAAGTAACATATATAAAAGAATTCAAAATCTTATTAAAATTATCATCTACAGTAATGGATTTCCCAAATTTAACTCCCAAAACTTTCTGAGAATCTACCCAGGATACACCATAGGCCTGATCCGAAATATTAAAATTACCAAAAGTTAAAACCTTCGTCTTACTTTTATTTAAACGGGCCCCCGAACCTCGACCGTATTGTTCATAAACATCTAAAACCCGCTGGACACTCAGTGCTGTTGTGCAAATACCGGTGACGTCATCTGCATAAGCAGTGACACGAGCCTCGCCGTTATTACCGGGAAGGGAAATACCTTTAATAAATGGATCAGACCTAAGGCGAACCAAAAAAGGTTCTAAAGCTAAAACATATAATAATGGTGATAACGGACAACCCTGTCTAACAGAACGTGTCACTTTAAAAGATTTAGATATAAAACCATTAACGAGGACTGAGCTGGATACATCTGTATATAAAAGTTTCACCCACTTAATAAAAGATTCACCAAAATTATATCGTTTTAAACACGCGAAAAGGAAATCGTGATCTACTCGGTCAAATGCTTTTGCCGAATCTAGATTAACAAATGCGACTTTCAAGTGTTTTTGTTGACAGTAGTCAATTACGTTCCGTATCAAGTGAAGATTAGCAGAGATTTGGCGGCCAGGAACAGAACAAGTTTGATCAAAATGTACGATTTCCCCGATAACACAGCTCAATCTTCGTTGAATAATTTTTGAAAGAATCTTAAAATCTACATTAAGTAAAGATATTGGTCTCCAACATTTTATATCATAATCATGATTTCTGTCTTTACATAATAAAGTGATAACACTAAGTTTTTGAGATTCACAAAGAGAAAAATTATCATAACAAGAATTATAAAGTTCTAATAAAATAGGACCAAAAATATCAAAAAATTTAGCAAAGAACTCCCGACTTAGACCATCAAGACCAGGACTACGATCATGTTTAAAATTATTAAGACTAGTTCTTATTTCTTCCAGAGTTATATACCCATCACAGAGCTCGCTTTCCTCATCATCAAGTGTCGGTAAATCGTGTAAAAAATCGTTCATTATATCATGGTCAATAGGCTCTTTAGTGAATAAATTTGAATAAAAGTCACTGGCTATGCGAATTAGATTCTCAGAATCAGTAAAAGTTTTATTACAAGAAGGATCATTTAATTTAGAAATATATTTATCTTTGGCGCGTTTACTTTCTTTATTTAAAAAATATTTTGACGGTGTTTCGTTGTTATCTAAGTATCGGGCCTTGGCTCTAATAATATGACCTCTATCTTTAATTAAGTTAAAAGTTAACAATTCTTTCTTAACAGCCTTAATTTGATCAATATATGCACCAGGATCGGACGATTCAGCGGAAATTAACTGATAAAAACGTTTTTCTAATTCTCTACGTAAAATACAATTATTCTTATTTTTATTTCTACAAAACGACACAATAAAATTCTTTATATCTATTTTACATTGTTCCCACCATGATGTAGAAATTACCTCATCAGTATCAAAATATATCTCCCAAAACAATCTAAATTCAAGAATAAAATTATCATCATCAAGTATTGAATTATTCAACTTCCAAAAACCTGGCCCAATAGTAACAGAAGAATTTAAATTAATATTGATTAAAACGAAATCATGATCAGAAGCTGAACAAGGCAATACTTGATGATGATTAACAAACTGTAAATATCTCTGAGAAATATAAAATCTATCTATTCGTGATGAAACCCGCGCCACGTAGAAATGACCCCCGTAGGGTTTAACGACCTGAAAACATCAACTAAATTAAGATCAGCTACAAGATTTCTCAACTGCACATGGCCTTGCAATACAGCAAAAGGGTTTCCCCCTATTTTATCCTTCTCAAGATCTAAAACACAATTAAAATCACCCCCCAAAATTAGAACATGTGATGTAATACAAAATTTATGGATATACGTAAAAAATTCCCGTCTGTCGGTACTATCAACTGGAGCATACACATTTAGAAATCTAAAAAATATATTATTAATGGATGCATCTAGAAAATCATACGACCAGAAAAATCAAAATCAAATTTAATAATGTTAAAATTAATTCTATTAGATAAAAGTATCCCCACGCCCTTTTCTCTATTTGCCCCGAAACTCCAAAAGGCCTTAAAGTCACCAAAAGATTCTAACATTTTGCCGTCTGCTACAGACTGAATGTGTGTTTCTTGTAAGAATACAACATCAGCTTTATGCGAATTAATATCGTTCATTACAAGTCTTTTACGTTTATAAGCAGCTAAACCATTAACATTAATAGTGATAATATTTAAAGTTGGAATTGACATTTTATTGTAGATGGGGAAATAACAGCAATGATAGAAATTGAAACAATAATAAGATAATTCAATAAAATACATATAAAAATATTTAATTGGCAAAAACCCATTATGAATACTAGATAGACAAAAACGTACAGGCTTACAGTGATTACGTTTTTACCTGTTAACACACATGAACAGTGGTGAGTAAAGGCTACAGTGACTGGTGTGTGTATAAAACCATACTCTGTACAAACATCGCAGCAGACGACAGAAAACAACATCACACTATATACACTTTCTAAACAGTTTAAAGTGGCGGTTCTACAACCTGCAAAATAAAAAACTTGTTGAAACAACACATCATTTATATATTTACACATGTTAAAGTTTATTTTTCTTTTTGTCCTTAACAATGGTAAAGCCTTCATCATCTTGCATATGCGGTTTATTACGAGAGTCAAAATTTGTTAGTCTCAATCCGGGATGCCAAGGGGCGATCGGGGATAAAAGAGGACTACTACTCCCTGTCACACAAATCTCTTCCTCCATAACGTTATTGGTATTACTCTCGCGATCATCCATTTCTTCAATCATATTACCTTCCATTCCATCTACCTGTTTATCACCATCTTCGCTGTTCTGATCAATTTCCCTTTCATCCTCACTACCATCCTTTTCACCTTCTTTCAATACCTCGACCGCAGGCACCTGCTCAGCTGAAATTGCGCTAGGACGTGGGGGCGATACTGCCTCAGCAACATGACCAATACAGTTACATTTCAAACATAGTGGCAGCCTGCCTGGAGCAGTTACGAGCATACGCAGATTACTTTTCTCAACCCGTATCATGTGCGGAATAGGGGTCTTTAAAAAATCAGAAACTACTAAAGTTATTGCTCGCATTCCTGTACCAAGCTGTACCCCCTCGTAAGACGATCTCTCTTCGTAAACCCGGGTCACCTCGCCAAATCTTTCAAAAATCTTCCTTAAAAATCTATCCTTAACGTATCTGGGCACCCAGTGTACTCGTAGGTTCACCACCGACTTGGTTGCGTCACAAAAATAATATCTTATGCCATTGTACGTACCGCTACCTATGTCAATTAGTGCTTCAACCATTTTACTAGATTTAAGAGTAACGTACCATTCTTCAGACTTGTCCCTTTTACTAATCGCTTCAACAGCCTTGGATGAATCTAAAGCTAAACATATCATCTTGAAAATCGTTGGCCTATAAACCATTACCTTCTTGTCTAAGGTCACTTTAACTGTCCTGGAAACGACATCGTCATCAATATCATCATCTTCAAAATCAACATCAATCACGTGATCAGACATTATAAACCACCGTGGTATACACACTCACCGCACTGAATCTAACTCTGCGGGGGAAATCTGCACTCGAAAAAACTCACTTTCTTATAAATAAATGCAGCACGGAGCTTTATTTTAAATGGTATAAAGAGATGACGTCATGTACACAAAAAAAATGGGATATTAATCTTTGGAGCAACTGTTATTTACTAATATGAACTATTTTCACCCTAGAAGCACAAGTGCCAGATATTGGTTAACAGTAGAACACCCTTAGTTCAAATATTGCCACTTTGAAAAATAATTCTCTATATTATACGTATGCAGAACGTTCCGATTATGACCCTTTCGGACTTTTGTCGATATACAGTGCCATTTGTTTGGCCACTCTTGATACTTTTGACCGTTGTACGGTGGTTTCATACGGGAGGGGGGGGGGGGTAACACGCGCGTGCGCTGTATCATACGGTCTGTCATTGAGTCAACTGGCGGGGTTTCGATTCCCCGGTTGTACGTGACAACGAGTAGGGTCGCCTGTCCAACCTCGTGGGTTTTCTCCGGGTCCTCCGGTTTCCTCCCACTGCTAAAGACCCCTACGCGCAAGCGAATTATTGAAATAAAAAAATAAACCATATGTTAGTCCCGAAATGACCTAGTTTGTGTCGAGTGGACGTTAAACCCCATTTCTCTCTCTCTCTCTCTCTTTTCATACACATATATATCAATTAGGCTATCTACAGAAGGAGTTCCCCAGAAAATATTGTATTGCCTTTTTGAAAAAAAAAGACCTCTAAAAATGCTCGTACAGCGGCGCTAGTCTTCTTTTATATAGAATTCCAACCGCCAAGGGATCTTTTATGGTCACACCAATGTGTACACGGTACTTCGGAATCGCGTTCATGTCAGCTACTCAAAAATGTAACTGGTTCAAAAATTGATTGAATATCGACAATTTTCAGTTTCGTGCACGTTAAAGATTTGACGTCACTAACATGCAAAAGTTTACTATCAATTACAGACAGAGTCCATGGTCAAACAACTGAAGCAGTCAAGAGCCAGGATGTTCGCGACTACTTTTTTTTAAAATTTACTGATACTATCATATTTCATTATTTGTTAGCGTAGGACATTGTCATATATATATATACTATTCAAAAAAAGTAGGGGATATTTGATTTTTAAGTGTTATTAAAGTCACCTAATGAAACTGACGAAGAAACAAATGACAAAATGAGATGAAGTTCACATTCATCGATTTATTCCAAATGATCGTTAGACTAAGTAAGGCACAGACTGACCATTATAATGGTAAAATGATACCCGGGGTCAAACAGCAAAGTTACCACAGCATCACAACCAAGTCAGTAACGGGTAAATCCTCCTCTGTTTGCCAAACAAGCATTGATCCGACGTGGCATACTCCTAATGAGACGTCTAAGGTCATTTTGGTCCAGATTGTCCCATTCCTGTTGCAACGCAGCAGCAAGTTCTTGGACATTGGCAGGACGTTGTTGACGTTGACGTAACCTCTGTCCAAGCATGTCCCAGACATGCTCGATGGGGGAGAGGTCGGGACTCAGTGCTGGCCAAGGTAATGTGGTGATGTTCTGTTGTTGGAGGTAACCTGTAACGATCCTGGCCCTGTGACATCTTGCGTTGTCATCCTGGAAGATGAAACGGCGGTCATGACGTCGTGCGAACGGCACAACATGGACTGCCAAGATGTTGTCCCGGTAGTACTGGCCTGTAACACGCCCTGCAACAACATGTAAAGCCGTTCTTCCAGCAACAGTGATGCCTCCCCACACCATAACAGAACCACCCCCAAATCGATCATGTCTGATGACGTTAACGTCTTGGAAGCGCTCGTTTCGACGACGCCACACCCTCCTACGTCTGTCCAAAAAATCAACAGTGAACCTTGACTCATCTGAAAACATCACATTGCTCCAGCGTCGATTATCCCAGTGTTGACGATCCCTACACCAACGACGTCTTGCCTGAATGTGATGATCTCTCAAACAAGGGATCACGCGAGGACGTCGGGCGCGAAGGTGACCCCTATGCAGTCGATTCCGAATCGTCTGGCCACTCACTCTCACACCAGTGTCTGTTTGAAGACGAGCGCTGATCTGATTTGCTGTGATGACACGATTTCTCAAGGCCAAGGTACGGATAAATCGATCCTGGGCTTGAGTTGTCGCCCTTGGTCGACCTGAGCGTGGTCTGTCCTGTACAGATTGTGTATCACGGTATCTGGACCATAGCCTGCTTATGACAGACTGAGAAACATTTATCGTCCGCGCCACAACCGCCTGTGTTGTGCCGATCTGTAGCATGCCAAGGGCACGTAACCTTTCATTTTGGGTAAGCCGACGCATATCAAAATTTGTTTTCTGGTCACTAAAACAATTAAACTGATGTTTCCACCCTGGAATTCAATGCCACAATGACTGTAACATTAAAAGTCAGAGTCGTGCAAATCTTGGGTTGGACCCCCATGATGATCCCAAGCATCACCTGCATCCAATGCGGTAGCTATTGGTGCGTTTGGGCGTCACATGTAACTGGAAATGTTTCTTCTGTTAGGTTCTATAGTGACTTTTTTCGTAGTCATTTGCATATTTTAGTATTATGCCCCCAAAATCAAATATCCCCTACTTTTTTTGAATAGTATATGTCTTATCATATCATATATACTATTCAAAAAAAGTAGGGGATATTTGATTTTGGGGGCATAATACTAAAATATGCAAATGACTACGAAGAAGTCACTATAGAACCTAACAGAAGAAACATTTCCAGTTACATGTGACGCCCAAACGCACCAATAGCTACCGCATGGAATGCAGGTGATGCTTGGGATCATCATGGGGGTCCAACCCAAGATTTGCACGACTCTGACTTTGAATGTTACAGTCATTGTGGCATTGAATTCCAGGGTGGAAACATCAGTTTAATTGTTTTAGTGACCAGAAAACAAATTTTGATATGCGTCGGCTTACCCAAAATGAAAGGTTACGTGCCCTTGGCATGCTACAGATCGGCACAACACAGGCGGTTGTGGCGCGGACGATGAATGTTTCTCAGTCTGTCATAAGCAGGCTATGGTCCAGATACCGTGATACACAATCTGTACAGGACAGACCACGCTCAGGTCGACCAAGGGCGACAACTCAAGCCCAGGATCGATTTATCCGTACCTTGGCCTTGAGAAATCGTGTCATCACAGCAAATCAGATCAGCGCTCGTCTTCAAACAGACACTGGTGTGAGAGTGAGTGGCCAGACGATTCGGAATCGACTGCATAGGGGTCACCTTCGCGCCCGACGTCCTCGCGTGATCCCTTGTTTGAGAGATCATCACATTCAGGCAAGACGTCGTTGGTGTAGGGATCGTCAACACTGGGATAATCGACGCTGGAGCAATTTGATGTTTTCAGATGAGTCAAGGTTCACTGTTGAATTTTTGGAGAGACGTAGGAGGGTGTGGCGTCGTCGAAACGAGCGCTTCCAAGACGTTAACGTCATCAGACATGATCGATTTGGGGGTGGTTCTGTTATGGTGTGGGGAGGCATCACTGTTGCTGGAAGAACGGCTTTACATGTTGTTGCAGGGCGTGTTACAGGCCAGTACTACCGGGACAACATCTTGGCAGTCCATGTTGTGCCATTGGCACGACGTCATGGCCGCCGTTTCATCTTCCAGGATGACAACGCAAGATGTCACAGGGCCAGGATCGTTACAGGTTACCTCCAACAACAGAACATCACCACATTACCTTGGCCAGCACTGAGTCCCGACCTCTCCCCCATCGAGCATGTCTGGGACATGCTTGGACAGAGGTTACGTCAACGTCAACAACGTCCTGCCAATGTCCAAGAACTTGCTGCTGCGTTGCAACAGGAATGGGACAATCTGGACCAAAATGACCATAGACGTCTCATTAGGAGTATGCCACGTCGGATCAATGCTTGTTTGGCAAACAGAGGAGGATTTACCCGTTACTGACTTGGTTGTGATGCTGTGGTAACTTTGCTGTTTGACCCCGGGTATCATTTTACCCTTATAATGGTCAGTCTGTGCCTTACTTAGTCTAACGATCATTTGGAATAAATCGACGAATGTGAACTTCATTTCATTTTGTCATTTGTTTCTTCGTCAGTTTCATTAGGTGACTTTAATAACACTTAAAAATCAAATATCCCCTACTTTTTTTGAATAGTATATATCTCTTATATAGGTACATAATGCTGGCTGGAAATTACACGGTAGGCTAGCCTTTAGGACTCTATGCTAATCTCCAGTAGGAATAAATGTTTCTTACATAGATATATTATGCTGGCTGGAATTTGCACGGTAGGCTAGCCTTTGGGACTGCGCTGTATCATACAGTCTGTCATTGAGTCAACTGGGGGGGTTTCGATTATCCGGTTGTACGTGACAAGGAGTACGGTCGCCTGTTCAACGTCGTGGGTTTTCTCCGGGTCCTCCCACTGCTAAAGACCCCTACGCGCAAGCGAATTATTGAAATAAAAAAAAATAAACCAAATGTTAGTCCCGAAATGATCTTTAAACATGCTCGTACAGCGGCGCTAGTCTTCTTTTATATAGAATTCCAACCGCCAAGGGATCCTTTACGGTCACACCAATGTGTACATGGGACTTCGGAATCGCGTTCATGTCAGCTACTCAAATATGTAACTGGTTCAAAAATTGATTGAATATTCAATGAAATATCGCCAATTTTCTGTTTTCGTGCACGTTAAAGATTTGACGTCATTAATAAAAATATATAATATTAATTGCAGATAGAGTCCATGCTCAAACAACGTCATGCCTTTTATCATAGGTGCAAAGTACTGTACGATACAACTGCATCCGTTTAACAAATTTCTGTCCAGATGATTACCGGTATTATATAATTTTGACAAAGAAGCAACAATATTAATTCAAAGACTAATTATTACATACAGCAATCAACTATTTCTGTTACAGGGTCACTAAACCCATATTTTGGATGGAAGAAAACACTCATAGTTGAAATAATTTCAGTTCAAAT